CAGCCCCGAGGTACATTTCCAAAGGGGTGCAACATTTTTCCAGCCGGTAGATCCTCTAGCTCTCTTTTTCTCCCCTCTCGCCTACTTTCTTTTGCGCCTTCCTACTCACAAAATGGTGGTAAAGAAGATCTTTAAGCTACTGACGTCGACCCCGAAGCGGCGCTCGCTTCCACAGCTCGGCCGAGTCGCGTTCCATGCCCTCGATCATCCTCCGCGACGCCCCGACCAGGTGCAAAATCTCGATGCGTCCACACCTCCGCTCTTCTCAGCCTCAACAATTAGTAGGTTGAATGTGTGTGTTTCAGGTTTACAATGAAATAAAATGATTTGATTTATTTTTTGGGAGCAGCTAGAATCCGAGAGAGAGAGAGAGAGAGAGAGGAGCCAGCGAGAGAGAGAGAGACAGACAGAGAAATCTACAGATATAAATAAGACCAATCTCCGCTCCACTTCCAGCCGAAGCCACGATCACCTATTTTAATTTTGTTGTGGTCTCCGTGGGTCTGTCACAAAGCCGGAATTTAACTCGAGGGAGAATGGAGCTAAAGCTTAGCTCTCCGTCAGATTCGGATCGAGCGTGGCCAGACACCCCCAAAGTGATTAAGAACAGAATCTAAAAACTTCGGGTTCAAATTTAACATGCTATATTTGTAATTTGGTAGTAAAACGGCTTTTGGACGCGATTTTGGGCAGTAGTGAACCAGGTCACGCGCGCGTTTCGGCCCGGGAAGGGAGCGCTTGGATAGCCAGAGTCCAGCCGGCTGCGGCGGCCTACAAGCGCGCTGTTTGTAATAAGATCTTTATTAGCGGCCGCATTCTTTACTGTCTCCCACGGACCCAGATTGTCGTCCGTTCCCAGAACTTGTTTAGCCACTAATCTCGTGTTGCTTTGCCTTTCGTTCCTGCTTGACCGTACTAGTTCAGGCAGGACACTCCAAATGACACTCAGATGCCTTGCGAATCATGCCACCGCTTCACCTATTAGTGATATTCTGGACATTCTGTACGGAATCTGTATTGGCCCGAGCCAATTCGTTCCGTTTAGGTATTGTGTTTAATCGTATTTGATTGTTATTAGGGTGTTGTATCTACTTTATGCCCGCCACTCTCATCTACAATCTACTTAAAATCTACATGATGTCCCATTAAAAAACACCCCCTCTCTAACTCGACACCGTATTATCGGATCTGAATGATAAGTATACCATTCGAAAGCCATTACAACAATCTTCAAAAACATTTTTTTATTTTAAAGGCGCCAAACTTTTACCTCGCATTTCAAAACATCAAGGGACGGCTTCTGGATCTAATTGACCGTCACTACGGTCGTTTAGCTTGAAGACTGAACAAAATAAGTTCGAATCAAACTCCCGAAAAAACCGCAAAATCTTAAAATATTTCTGCCGTCGGGTTAGGGGAGAGGGCAGGGTTTTTTTATTGCGACACCTTGTAAAATATATGTAAAAGCAGTTTTGTCCAACTTTGTGGATGTTATCTCCCTCCTTCTATACAACCCCTCCCCCCACGTGATTGAAAAATATAGCCCAGGGGGTTATATTGGAGGCTCTCTCTTTCTCTAGCCTCTCCTTGCTTGCACTCAATTTCCCCGTCATCTGCTCTCCCTCTCTCTCCCTCTCTCTCTCTCTCTCTCTCTCTCTCTCTCTCTCTCTCTCTTTCTCTCTCTCTCTCTCTCTCTCTTTCTCTCTCTCTCTCTCTCCTCTCTCCCGATGATACGCTGCAATCACATCAAAAAACCATTTTTATTTCGTCAAACCGGAACGGGAATTTGATGTGGAAAAATTAGGAGAAGAGGGTGGTATTTATCTTTAGTCTCCTTGTAGCCGCCGGAATCCTTGTTGTCCTCTAGCTCATCGCCTCAACCCTCTCGCTCATCAGGGTCCTCGTGCGCCCAACCGTTTCCCAGCGGCGCCATGGTGCACCTGTACAAAATTTTGATCCCGGTCGAAGGGCTTATCAATAAAATTTACCTTTGCCTTGGCAGGTGCATTTACGATGAGAGCCGTTGAACTTCTCGAGGGCTTTCACGCAAACGATGGGTTCATTGTGGTATACATGAGTCGGCCTTTGCATGCGTCGCATAAGCGTGGCCAGCCACGCTCTTCCGGAGGCGTGGAGAGCCACGCTGGCGCGCGTGCCTCTTAATAAACCACGCCGAAATAGGCGTGGCTCGCCACCGCTCAGGAAACTTGCTGTCTAAAAGTTTCCCAAAAAATGCAAAATCAAAGTTTTCCAAGAGGACATGAAAGCAAAAATCAGGCCGTTTTCGAGGAATTTATGTAAGAGATTGAACCACGATCTAACTTGTTTATTTATCAAATTTAAAATTTAATCAAATTTAAAAGAGGACCCTGATTGTTATGTATCGGCAGTTCACTTTTGCAAATCGAAATCATAAATATATGTCCTTTAAATTTTTGATTTGCATCTGGAGTTAAATCGCGCGCGTGAAAAGCACGCCTAAAGCGCCGCATAAGGCGTGGTCCTCCACGCTCCGGAAGAGCGTGGCCAGCCACGCTTATGCAGCGCATGCAAGCGTCGACCCATGTATACATTGTGGGATGATTTCAAGAACTCACTTCGGGGCACGTACGCATCCCTTACAAACGGTCGCTCGATACTCGTATCGCACGTCCTTCAGTCCGGCATCAGGGGTGCATCGGGCGCAGTAGCCTTCCGAATACAGCCCGGGTCGGCCCGTTTTCCGGGCCGTTTCCTGAAAATTGGCGCGTTTTCAAGGCAGCCGGATGACAACCTGGAGCTACTGCTACAAAAATTGCAGGAAAATACGACCTTGAAGGAAACGAAGGAGGCGATGCTCGTGGCGCTGGAGGATGAGGAGCGTGTCCACGCTGTCGAAATCTTAGAAGGGCGGCGCTGCGCTAAAAATACAATTTTGAAGCGGGAGAGGAGCGCGAGAGAAAGAGCGAGAGAGAGCGAGAGAGAGAGAGAGAGAGTGAGAGAGAGAGAAATAGAGCGAGAGTGAGAGTGAGACCAACCGGACGACCAACGGAGTATGGAAGAGCCGCGGGCGGTTGAGCGTGTGCCTGAAACAAAAATTTATTCTACCAAAAGAATCGCTGCAAGCTTGCTTACAGGTTAGGTAAGCACAAGAGTGGAAGAAGACACTTTCAGCTTTTTTTCAGCAACGACACAACAAATGATGTACCAACCGAGTCCGCGCGAAGGTTCAACTGCAGCGAGTCGCTCACGTCTTCAATCATCGATAAAGTCCAGTAGTGCCTTGCACGAGGTCCCCATTCGTCATGTCCTGAAAATGGCAGTTGCCACAACAAGCTTGAGAAATTACGTTGCATGGCTGGAAGCAGGAGTTTTCGTAATGAGCGAGAGAGAGAGAGAGAGAGAGAGAGCATGAGAGAGCATGAGAGAATGCAGGTAAACACGACCTGGAAGGACACGAAACTGGTCTTGCTGGCTGACGAGCCGAACGGAATGGACACTTTCCAGATGGTAGATTTCTAAAAAATCGACTTTTTAAGGCCAAGCTAGCTAGCTACGAAACGATGGATTTTTCCTGGGTTTTAAAGATTTTTCATTTTCATTTCATATTTGAAAAATACTGTTCGATAGAGGAAACATACGCTCGCAAACTAAATAAACAATCCTAAATAACAACAATCCTGACCTATAGCCCGGTAGCTACATTCGTTCTCGAGTTATAGCAAAAACAAACTTTATTTTCCATTTTTCATAGGGTTTTCGTGGAATTAGACCCCTAGACATTAAGTGAAAATGATCCGGTAGGCCTTCTTTACCGTAAGAAATTTTTCCAGAGTAAAATTAATTAAATTAGCTTCGATTTAAGCGATTTTACAACGCAAAATTACCCCAGTTCTTAAGCGAAATTAGGGATTCGCAGTCGGAAGTCAATGCAAAGCGATGCAAAGTCGAAAAAAGATAGCCGATAAAACTGTTCAGAAGCCCGGGAAAAACAGTATTTTCGCTATAACTTTAAAACTACTGTAGCTATGGGGCTGTAAGTCAGGATTGTGGTTATTTAGGGTCTGATACACCTCTGGTCCAAATATAGGAGCGATTGGGTGTAACCCGGCGAAATGCCAGATGGGTCGTTTTTTGGGGCACCCTGTAGATGTCGGACCGCAAGTCGTGGCACCGACCGATCAGGCTCCACACCCAATCGGTCAAGTATTACTAGTAACCTTCCCCAGCTCATAAGCATAACCACGTTGTATAAATATTAAGGTTTCGGAATAGTTTTAGAAGAAGAAAGATCTTTCAATTCACATTAGAGAGAGCTAATTTGTACGAAACGTTTTGAAAGCGGGACCGAAACCAACATACCAATTAGGACGACAAATAGCTGAATATACGAAGAGAGAGATTTCGCGCCACTTGCCGGGCGCTCCACTTCCCCGCAAATGCAATTATGCAATTACGCTATTATGCTAATTTAGGCGAGGGATGTAGAAATGATTACATGGCAAGAATTTGCATTGCATAGCACAGTTCCTGGTCCTAATTTTCTCCATTTGCAATTAGATCTCGTACTAAGGTCGAATTTTGAGTTAGCGAGAGAGGCGAGACAGAGAGATACAAAGAGAAAGAGAGAGAGAGAGCGAGAGAGAGAGAGAGAGAGAGAGAGAGAGGGAGTGGAAGTAGTACCGGCATCAACAGTCCTGACCTAGACAAGGTAATTCTAGAGCCGGAGCCAAGGCCCAGAGTCAAATAAAACAGTATACACAAAAACGGATGGCGTTTTTTCCTGTTTTGCTGTGGACAGGGGGGATAAAAATTTATCTGGCTCTGACCCACCAGTTCTCTTGCGGCGTTTATTTCTCCGATCTTCCTCAGCCGCCTCCACCCCGGGATAGCAGCTCCAGTTCGTCCCCCAAATTCGAGATCTCGTCAGATTTTCTTGTACAGCATACCCCAGCCTGTACATCAATCGTGATCTTCGAGCCGACGTTCAGCACGCGGCCCTTCCGATGGCGCAAATTCTAACCACGACGTCCCGGCTCCCCGCCGAAGAGGCCATAGGGGGCAAAGGTTCTGAAGGTCGATAAGGCGGAGATAACTTGGTTCTCGACTGTTAGCGGGGAACCAAATTTTTCCCTGTGATTCACTACGGCCCTATAACAAAATATAAACCATTTTCGATTGAATTTTCCATAGTTTCAGAATACAAAAACCAATATAAAAACACTTAAAAATTTTCGAAACTTTGTTTTTTTTTTGATAAAAAATGTAAGACAAATGAGCAAAGAAGGTGAAATTTTTCGAATTTACAAACAAAAAAATTTTTTGAAGAATTTTCTAGCAGTCAAAAACTACGCAAAACACTATAAAATACATAATATATCATCAATAGGTGCAAAACAAAAAGTGATTCTCCCGTTGCTAAAAATCCCCCCCCCCGTTAACACTCAAGAACCTATAAATTTTTTTTACCTCCTCTCGGTCAGCAAGGACAGCTGGAGCTCCTTGCGGAAGAGAAGCCTTCTGATGACACCGTCACCTCCGCGATACTTACCCCGACCGCCAGACTCGAGGCGCAATCCGAATTCCCGGAGGATGATCGGGTATCTGGAAAGGTTCATGTATCATGTCAAAAATATCAAAAAGTACAGATGTTTTCAAGGATTTTCTATCATAATGTCGCAATTCATATCTTGAAATTTCACAATATGGCCATTTCAGAATGTCAAAAGTCAGAAAGTCGATTTTTTTGCGTAGGATTCGGGGGGTCCGGGAAAATTAGCTGATGTAATTTTCAACATTATGAAATTTCGACACTATGAAATTTCGGCATTATGAATTTCGGGATTTTGAAAGGAAACCCGCTTTGAAGTTACCTCGTTTCCAGGATCTCTGGATCCGTAATCCTGGTGTTTGTCATATGCGTGTGGACACCACTCCTCCCATCGAACCCTTCGCCCGCCCCCGGCCCCTCCAGCGATCGTCTCGTAGTACCCGAACTCGTTGTCGCCGAACGTCACGTTGTTCATGCAGCCTGAAGTAGTTGGTGATTCGAAAGTAATTCCCGCCCTTGCTTTCCCTTCGGTTTTATAACTTTTTTAGAAGCTGAGGTTGCAGTCAAAAAAATGAGACACAAAAGCGAATCCCCTCATTTAAAAAACGAAAATTTCTACATGGATCTCTCTCCGTTACCTTGACTCGCCGCAACGGCATGGAACGCCTTGAAGACGACGTCACAGATTCGTTGGCTTGTCAATACATTTCCGGCCACGACCGGGGCATTCTCCGACGGGGATAGGATTGTGTTGGGCGGGATCACAATCTGCAAAGTTTTTCATGATTTTAGGGACAGGAAGACAATGAGTATGAGAATGAGAGTTTACGATGAGTCGTCCCACAAAACATCCCCATCTGACTCGACGAAGCAGTATCGCATCGGAACGATAGTTACGCCATTCAAAAGCCCTCAAAATGGTGAGTTCGCAACACTCTTCAAAACCATGTTTAGTTAAGGACGCTATTTTAAAAGCCGATTTGTAAGATATTACCGTTTTTCGGGGTAGCATATGCAAATTGGGTCCAGTGACCGGAAGTAGCCGGTAATAGGTGCGCCATCGGAAATCCTTACCTTCACCGGCACCAAGCAGCCATTATTCAACGGAATGTCTCGATCGACCAGACAACGCAAACAGTACGTGATGGCCGACAGGGTGACTAGGTAATTTGGCATAGTTCGTAGTCTGGAGTTCTACCTGCATTCGGCGCATTTGTCGACCACAAGCACTCCGGGCCCCGTGCCGTCGAAATCGAATACGGCTTCGCCCTGACAATTGGAAGTAGATTAAAAGGTTCTTTCGCATTATCGGGGGAGGACCTAACTTTTTTCTTAGGATTTAGTTTTTTTTAATATAAATAGTGGAAGTGTTTCTAAACGTTTTTTACTGTTCCTAAAGGACAACACTTTACAAATTTTTATTTAAAAATTGATCAAAAAGCTCGATTTTCCGACCAAAAATCGTGGTTTTGGCCAAAATTTCGGCTTTTTTAAAAGTTTTTAGACAGTGTTTCTAGTTGAAATCGATTTACATGTTGCTAAAAACACTATTAAGACCCTTTCTATAAAGTTACTTAGGCTTTTCTGGACTGATACAAGAAAGTTCTTGAGCCCACCTTTTCCTTGTCAATCACCACCGTCAGCTTCCAGTATCGTGCCATCATCCATAAAATCTTCCGACGACAGCCTGGTGCTTCCGGTTTCGTCATGCACTTTTGGCCAACCTAAAAATTCAAACGTTACCAAAAAATTTAACTACTTATGTACTGCCATATGTCACGCTCATCAGCTTACCTTTTCAAGAGCTCCTGACGCCTCTCCTCGGCCGTTTTTGTATGTGCTGCATGTATGCTTGGACGACCTGTAGGGTGTTATAAAAAGCTAAGCAACCAAGCCAAGCCCAGGCCAAGCCTAAGCCAAGCCGAGGCCAAACCTAAGCCAAGCTAGGCCAATCGTTAAGCTAAGCCGGCTTAAGCCAAGCCTAAGCCAAACCTAAGTCAAGCCTAGGGAAAGCCTAACTTTAGGCGCTACGCATTACTTACCTCTAAGCCATACTCCCCGATCAGCCCCTGCACTAGCTGTATTCCCTTGTTATTCGCCGTGATCTGTGCTTTCAAGTCAGAAATGTTGTCGTTGAGCTGGCGAGTACCCGAACATCCTAGAAACGTTGCCTTACATCTTCAGATTTTCCAAACCCTTGATTTTCGAGGGCGCATTCAGCATTTTTGTCAGCTCCTCCTCTTGGAAATTCCCACGGTCGACAATTTTGAACGAGACGAACGTGGCGCCCTCCTGAACAATTAAAATTGAATTTTCTACTGTAAAAAAAGCATTTTAGAGCACTTCCAAGAACGAATCCCGGCCCTGCACCCAAAAAGCAAAGATTTGCCGCCAGCAGGGGTCGAACCTGCGACCTTGGGCTTATTAGACCCACGCTCTAACCAACTGAGCTATGGCGGCGGTGGGTGAGGGCCGCCCGGGTGGGCCTATCACCTGCAGGAGCTCCGTGGCGTTGGGGGCATGCTGCCGGGGACAAGACCCCCAATGTCCGCGTGGTGACCACGGTTGGCCAGGAAGAACACGGGGTTTTGTTGCCTTGGCATGAACACCTAAAATCGTAGCAAAATGTCAGATTATACATTTAATAAAAAGTAACTACCGTAGCTTGCTATACCCTGATTTGATACCCCTAAGTGTTTTAAAAAAGGTAAGCCTTTCCTTCCCTCAGCCGGAAGTTCCCAAACGTTTTTCACTATTACTTTTATATTGCATTATTTTTGGCTGTCATTAAAACCTGCAGTAAATTTTTTAATGCTCTATCGAATTTCATAGCCAAAATCCCGACAAAACAGCGAAAATATCGAAAATTGTGAACTTCCTGCTGGGGGAGGGGTAGGTAAATCCAGCTCAAAAAGTAGAACCTAGGAATCAAAACCCAAGATTCGGAAATTTTTTAGATTAGGAATGCTTTGCTAAATGGCCATACCGGTGTTATAACTGTCAAATCCGGCAAGTGACTCCGCCAGCTTTCGGGTGATTCGACAAATGACGTCGCCCTCGTGGATCCCGTCTATCCCGAGAGTCTTGATCTGATACTTCACCGAGTACTGCATGCCGCCTAAAGGATCAGGACATTAAATGACCTTTTGCAGATCTCTAAAGGGACAAGAAAGCGCGAGGATCGACCCTTTCATCGCTAGATCTTGACAGCCACGCGGCATATGAAAATAAGCTTAAAAGCCTTTTGGTTACGTAAGGAATCCGCTATTTGGTCAGCTAGGTATCCACCAGCTACGCGACGTACCAAATTACGCTTCCAAAAATATTTATTTTTACTGAACGCGTTATTAAAACGGTGCCTACGTGTCGAGACCTAGCCGATGTAAAGAGTAGAATTTCGACCTTCAGAGTCCCTCAATCCACCGCAAAATAATTTAACAATTTACCCAATGCACCGGAATATGCGGAGCATTCGCGATCAGCCCGCCATCCGGCCCGAAAAGAGCACAGGAGGAAATCGAGACGTTCCTAAAACGGGCGCGGTGCCGGGCGCACGAAATCGTGGTACCTTGATATTTGTGGATATCGCTGTCCGCTGCAATACTCTGCCCATCTGCTCGGCGATCGACATGAACCGGTTGGAGAAGATGGACAGACGGATCAAGTCCACCTGAAAGAAGGAGGGGTAGGAGCTGCTCATTTTTTAAGGTGAGACTTGCTCAGGAATTCAACATTTTATCCTAGAGTTCACGTCGAAAACTCCGTAGGCACCCCAAAAACCACGGTCAGTTAGCGGGATCTTGAGGAGACGATTTACGTCACTGAGAGCTAGAGAAGAGATAGCTAGAGAGATATAGAGAGTGGATGAGAGTGAACGAGAGTGAGAGACAGCCTGTGTATCAGAGATAGAGAGAGAGAGGAGAAGAGAGAGAGAGAGAGAGAGAGAGAGAGAGAGCGATAGAGAGACCATTTACGTTCGAGAGAGAAGGTGTTTTCTGATGGGGCGTAGAGAGTAGCATAGCGTGAATCTATGTAACTGGTACCTTTGTAATTGAATCTTTTTCTGTAAGCTTCCAGCGACTTGTATTTTGACATCTCTCCTCGGTGATCATCGCCGCTGTAAGCGGGCCTGATGACGATCGTGCTGTAGAATCATCAAGTTAAAGGGACAAACAAGTGCTACAATCCTTCCCGCCTCGTCGCCAAGGTCTCGACAGTTACGTAAGTACGAGAAATTACGAATGTTACACGATGGAACACACCTGTTTGCATCCAAAATAATTGTTGGACCCTTGACGATATGTCCCAGATTTTTAGCTTTCCTAGCTCGTGTACAGTTTCAGTACTCTGTGGTCCACCCTAAAGATTTGTATTTCTTTGAAGGACGGTGGCTCTTCTTCTCTCTCTCTAGCACTCTATCTCTAGCTCTCTCACTCTCTCTCGCACCCACTGCCGCGCTCGCTCGCTCTCCTCTCTCTCTCTCTCTCTCTCTCTCTCTCTCTCTCTCTCTCTTTCACTCTCCCTCCTAAACTAAACCTGAAATAACAGTCCCGTTCCCCAACTTTTGGTGCTCCAAGTGGATACTCAGCTTTCCGATATGATCCTTCACCTCAATTCCAGCTTTTCCCGATTCCACGCACCCTAAAAAAGCGGTTTTCAGGGTTACTGTAGCCGTCCAACCGTATATCATCATCCACCTGTACCTGACGAGGTCCAGGAACAAACCCGAATTCGCGCTTGTACGTGCTTCTGAAAAAAAGAATTTCGAGCTCCGAAACTTTGGGTTTTACCTGAAATTTCCATAAACTTTTCGATTGTTTTCGGATCAGCGGGATCAAAATTCGCCGCCGTCACGATGGCGCAGTCCGTCTTGGCATATCGCATATGGAGTGAAGCACTCGGCTTCGACGGCTCTGTCCTTGAAGCCCTGCGACTTGAGCCGATCGGTGGTTTGTCTTCGCAACTCCTTGGAACCGGTCGGCAAAAAGGGAGAAGTTCTCTAAATTGGTCGAGAGAAATTAGTGGATATCCCTCATTGGCGCATTAATCCGTCACAAAAAATAAGATTCATTTTCCGTAGTCAGCTTTCAAAATCCCTCTAAAAATCCCCCGCCAATAGTCCAGGAACCAAAAGTTCCGAATTTTTCGCAATTACCCGCAAATTCTAAATTCAGAATCGCCACTTTTACGCCGTTATCTTGCCTTGTTCCCTTTAAAACACCCCTAGAAACCGTACCTTTGGTGAACGGCTTCGCGCGCGGGCTCCTGCGCCTCGACAATAGACGTCGGCCAGCGCGATACCGTAGCGCCGAAAGTACGCCCGAGTACTTGAGAACGGTGAAGACGGAGCGGATGCCGAGAGTTCGGGCGACCGCATTAAGCATGTTGAGCTCCTGCTCCTCCGAAGCATGCGAGCACGTGCTCAGAGGTGTCGTAGCCTTTGGCTCGAAAGAGAAATGGCTTTTTCTGCTCCCCATCTCTTCTCTCTCTCTCTCGCCCTTGCCCTCTCTCTCTCCCACCTGTGTAAGTGCCCGAATCGGTCTGCACATCTCCTCATTTGCCACCGATATACATCCGAGCGCCACCTCTTCAATCGTGTAGGTACGCTAGAATTGATTGGATGGTCTTTACATGTACTAATCCATCCCTTAACTTTATATTAATTTTAATCTACTGGAAAATCATACCTGAACCGCCTCCTGTTCTCTTTGACGTGTCGATTCACGTCGTCGGTGAATTCCTTGAAAGCCGCCATAGCTGCCTCCCTAATGATATTTCTTTGAGTGAGTGAGCGAAAGAAAGCGAGAGAGAGAGAGAGAGAGAGAGAGAGAGCGAGAGTGCGAGTGTACCAGAGAGGGAGAGAGAGAACGAGAGATGAAGGGGAGAGAGAGCTACCCACTTGTCGAGCGGCTGATCGGCATTTTCTACCCTGGAAAATTTTCGGGAAGAAATCGGGCTGAACTCGGCCCAGTACCAGATTCAAGGTGTCCGTCACCGCGAGATAGCCGTTCTAAACGGGAATTTTTAGGCGAGTCGGCCTAAGTAATTAATGTTCCAAACAAAGGAAGTTTGGGGGGTGCATTATTTCGGTGAATTCAATAATCGAAATAAAACAAAGAGTATTAAACTCCATAAACAACCGGTGCCTTGTCAGCGCCCTTAAAATGTTTGATAAT